AACTAGAACTCCCGACATAGAAATACGACACATAGAATGACCACACCCTGGCTCAACATATAGAGTCCCAGAGCCCGGATGTGACATAGGCCTACATACCGATTTATTGAAACTGTTTCCTTCATCTCTTTGCTTTTGTACTCTAGGGAGATGGGAAGTAAAGTAAGTATAGCTGACTGCACAGATAAAATCATGTTCTTCCGTAGTTGAATAACATGAGTCAGAAACAAAATGGCCACTCCACTGGCGTTACCAGCTACAGTATCTTTAACCTTATGTTTGGGAAACACCAACACTCGGATGCAACATACCATACAGTGCATTCGGAAAGTATTCAGACCCCTTCACTTTTTCCACATTATGTTACGTTACAGCCTTATCCTAAAATGTATTACATGTTTTTTTCTCTCTCTCATCAATCTACACACAATACCCCATAATGACAATGCAAAAACAGGTTTTTTGAAATGTTTGCAAATGTATTAAAAATAACAAACTGAAATATCACATAAGTATTCAGACCCTTTACTCAGTACTTTGTTGAATCACCTTTGGCAGCGATAACAGCCTCAAGTCTTTTTGGGTATGACGCTACAAGCTTGGCACACCTGTATTTGGGGAGTTTCTCCCAATCATCTCTGCAGATCCTTTCAAGCTCTGTCAGGTTGTATGGGGAGAGTCGCAGCACAGCTATTTTCAGGTCTCTCCAGAGATGTTCGAACAGGTTTAAGTCCAGGCTCTGGCTGGGCCACTCAACGACTTTCAGAGACTTGACCCGAAGCCACACCTGCATTGTCTTGGCTACGTGCTTAGGGTTGTTGTCCTGTTGGAAGGTGAATCTTCTCCTCAGTCTGAGGTCCTGAGCGCTCTGGAGCAGGTTTTCATCAAGGATCGCTCTGTACTTTGCTCCATTCATCTTTCCTTCGATCCTGACTAGTCTCCCAGTCCCTGCCGCTGAAAAACATCCCCACAGCATGATGCTGCCACCACCATGCGTCACCGTAGGGATGGTATTGGCCAGGTGATGAGCGGTGCCTAGTTTCCTCCAGACATGAGGCTTGGCATTCAGGCCAAAGAGTTCAATCTTGATTTCATGTCATGTGCCTTTTACTGAGGAGTGGCTTCCATCTGGCCACTCTACCATAGAGGCCTGATTGGCGGAGTGCTGCAGAGATGGTTGTCCTTCTGGAAGGTTCTCCCATCTCCAAAGAGGAACTCTGGAGCTCTGTCAGAGTGACAAACAGGTTCTTGTTCAACTCCCTGACCAAGGCCCTTCTCCCCCGATTGCTCTGTTTGGCCGGGCGGCCAGCTCTAGGAAGAGTCTTGGTGGTTTCAAACTTCTTCCATTTAAGAATGATGGAGGCCACTGTGTTCTTGCAGAAATGTTTTGGTACCCTTCCCCAGATCTGTGCCTCGACACAATTCTGTCTCGGGAGATCTACGGACAATTCCTTTGACCTCATTACTTGGTTTTTGCTCTGACATGCACTGTCAACTGTGGGACCTTATATAGACAGTTGTGTGCCTTTCCAAATCATGTCCAATCAATTGAATTTACCACAGGTGGACTCCAATCACGTTGTAGAAACATCTCAAGGATGATCAATGGAAACAGGATGCAGCTGAGCTCAATTTTGAGTCTCATAGCAAAGGGTCTGAATACTTATGTAAATAAGGTATTACTGTTTTATAGAGAGAAACAGAGAGGAGGAACGAGAGTGAGACAAAGAGGGAGTGCTCTATGTAGCGCCATGGAGACAGCCTGGACACTGGGATTTGAATAGGAGGGCTGTGTGTGTGTGCGCGGACCATATTTAAGAGAGCTCTTAGAATAGTCGTTAGAGGATGTGAAGATGTCATGTGTTCGAGATTTTATCACGTCTGAAAGGTGTCTATGTAAATAAAGATGGTTTGAAAGACATCGCCCCGTAGCACTAACTTCTGTCATCATGAAGTACTTTGAGAGGCTAGTTAAGGATCATATCACACCTCCACCTTACCTGATACCCTAGATCCACCTCAATTTGCATACCGCCCCAATAGATCCACAGACGATGCAGTCGGCATCGCACTGCACATGGCCCTATCCCATCTGGACAAGAGGAATACATATGTAAGAATGCTGTTCATTGACTACAGCTCAGCCTTCAACACCATAGTACTCTCCAAGCTCATCATTAAGCTTGGGGCCCTGGGTCTGAATGCTGCCCCGTGCAACTGGGTCCTGGACTTCCTGACGGGCCGCCCCCAGGTGGTGAAGGTAGGAAACAACATCTCCACTACGCTGATCCTCAACACAGGGGCCCCACAAGGGTGCCTGCTCAGCCCCCTCCTGTACCCCCTGTTTACCCATGACTGCGTGGCCATGCACATCTCCAACTCAATCATCAAGTTTGTAGACGACAATAGTATTAGGCCTGATTACCAACAATGACGAGAGAGCCTACAGGGAGGAGGTGAGGGCCCTGGCAGAATGGTGCCAGGAAAATAACCTCTCCCTCAACGTCAACAAAATGAAGGAGCTGATGGTGGACTTCAGTAGACAGCAGAGGGAGCACGCCCCCATCCACATCGACGGGGCCGCAGTGGAGAAGGTGAAAAGCTTCAAGTTCCTCGGCTGTACATCACTGACAATCTGAAATGGTCCACTCACACAGACAGTGTGGTGAAGAAGAAATGTGTCTTGGCCCCTAAGACCCTCACAAACTTTTACAGATGCACCATTGAGAGCATCCTGTCGGGCTGTATCACCGCCTGGTATGGCATCTGCACCGCCCGCAACCGCAGGGCTCTCTAGAAGGTGGTGCGGTCTGCCCAACGCGTCACCGGGGGCACACTGCCTGCCCTCCAGCACCCGATGTCACAGGAAGGCCAAAAAGATCATCAAGGACATCAACCACCTGAGCCACGGCCTGTTCACCAAGCTATCATCCAGATGGTGAGGTCAGTACAGGTGCATCAAAGCTGGGGCAGAGAGACTGAAAAAAAGCTTCTATCTCAAGGCCGTCAGACTGTTAAATAGCCATCACTAGCCGGCCTCCAACCAGTACCTTGCCCTGAACTTAGTCATTGTCACTAGCCGGCTACCCCCCGGTTACTCAACCCTGCACCTTAGAGGCTGCTGCCCTATGTACATAGACATGGAAATCACTGGTCACTTTAATAATGTTCACATACTGTTTTACTCATTCCTCATGCATATACTGTATTCTAGTCAATGCCATCCTATTCAACTATTGTTGTATATATACTATTCTATCCTACGTATTCTACAGATATACTAAATATTCTATCCACAAACTGTCCATAATGTCTATACATCCCACCCACCCGGATTCTGACATTGCTCGTCCTAATATTTTATAGATTTCTTAATTCCATTATTTTTCTTTAGATTTGTGTGTATTGTTGTGAATTGTTTGATATTACTGCACTGTTGGAGCTAGGAACACAAGCATTTCGCTACACCCACAATAACATCTGTTAAATATGTGTATGTGACCAATAACGTGATTTGATGAGGAGAATAAGTAATAACTCCAGAATGGAAACTGGAGCCCCACTAGAGGTCAGTAGATGGTAGCAAATAAATACTGTGCTCCTCTCTTCCTCTTTCCTCTCTCTGGATTGGTTTATAGTGTGTAAACATGAACCTGCATTGGAACACTGTCCTGGGTATTGAGGAACTCACCTACCCTTGCCCCCTACACTCTAAACCTGTTTGTGTGTGTGCGCATGCGACTCGAGTGTGTGTTTACTGTCCACCTCCCACTCCCCTGTGGGTTTTTCAAGTGTCCAGATACATCTGTCTGTCAGCTCCACCTGACTAGCGGTGAAATCCTCACTGTCACTGCCACTTATGACTAGCAATGATGACGACCTCATATCCCCCCCTTCCTTTCTCCCCTCTCCCCCTCTACTATAGTCAGTCTCAGACAGGCTTACTGGGGCGGCGCACAATTGGCCCAGCGTCGTCCAGGGTAGTGGAGGGAATGGCTGGCAGGGATGTAGCTCAGTTGGTAGAGCATGGTGTTTGCAATGCCAGGGTTGTGGGTTCGATTCCCACAGGAGGCCAGTATGAAAAAAATTAAAAAGAACTACTACACTCACTAACTGTAAGTCGCTCTGGATAAGAGCGTCTGCAAAACTTTTTTTTAAATGTAAACAGTCACACTGTCACCAGCTGGAATGGCACAGAAACAGAGAGAGGGACTGAGACCGAGAGAGGGAGAGAGACTGGGGAAGATAGACTTGGAGAGAACTGAAAGCAGCAGAGAACTGAAGTGGGAGGAGTCAGATTGTCCGACTTGAGTGAGAGAGAAAATCAGAAGACCCTGAAGGAGAAAGACAGTGAAGGAGATCATCAAATAGAATAGAGCTAGAGAGTAGTGCTGTTTTTCTCAGACCGGTAGACAAGACTAAACAGTGGTGAGGATCACTAAACCACACGGACATATTCTCAGGATGGAGATGATGGGTAAGACCACATATCTATGTCTCTCTTTAGATCCAGTCTCTGTCTACTCTCTATCTATTCTCTTTCTAGCTACTCTCTCACAAAATGGCTTCCAAGGAACGCAGAGGATGAGTTAGAGCCTGACTGTTGTCGAGAGGGTGTGTCCTATGAAATTGCTAGCCTTTTTAATCGGTGGACATTATTGTGGTAAACGGAGCAAAATAATGTATTGCGGTTGACTTGTCAACCTAAGAGCATTCCATGCTACACTGAGTGGTTACAGATGATCTATTTAGTCGGATTCGGACATGGACATGGTCTTTCATGTGAGAGCCTGAGAGACATCTGCCCCACCGACAGTCTCTGCTGACTGCTGGGTAACTTGACAGGAGCGAACAGGATTACTCTCTGCACTCATGTTTCACAATGTCTCATAAACTGTCTGGTGAGTTTGTGGGCGTAGACGTGACTATGCACGCACACGATTTGTGTACAGTGTTTTGTATCTCTCTAATATGTTGTCTCTGTGTCCCCAGTGTGTCCGATGGGCAGCAGCAGGCTGTTTGGTACCCTGGCCCAGACCCTGAACAGTGCTCCCCTGGTCCAGCAGGACTACTACCCAGAGCACCAGGACCCAGACCAGGACCCAGAGGGCCTGGAGCAGGCCAACCCAGACCAGCTGCTCAGAGAGTGTGAGGAAGCCCTCCAGAACCGGCCGGCCCGGCCACACAGGGACCTGGTCTACGTTGCAGACCCAACACACCAGCACCAATACAGGAACCATGAGCAGCAGAACACACCACCAATACGGGTCATGACGTGGAACATCCTAGCTCAAGGTACATAGACCTCTATAGATGATAGAGTACTACAGATTACAGAAGACCACAAGAGCATCTGTATGTCTGAGTGGACAAAACATTAGGACCACCTTCCTTATATTGAGTTGCACCCCCTTTTGCCCTCAAAACAGCCTCAATTTGTCGGGGCGTGGACTCTACAAGGTGTCGAAAGCGTTCCACAGGGATGCCGGCCCATGTTGACTCCAATGCTTCCCACAGTTGTGTCAAGTTGGCTGGATGTCCTTTGGGTGGTGGACCATTCTTGACACATACAGGAAACTGTTGAGCGTAAAAAAACGAAGAGTTGCAGTTCTTGACACACTTAAAAATCCTTCTTTAACCTGTCTCCTCCCCTTCATCTACACTGATTGAAGTGGAATTTACAAGTGACATCAATAAGGGATCATAGCTTTCACCTGGATTCACCCAGTCAGTTTATGCCATGGAAAGAGCAGGTGTTCCTAATGTTTTGTACACTCAGTGTATATCCAAGACTTGGTCTCAAGACTGCAGACCGTGATACTGCTCAAAGTGTTCACGATCAGAAATGGGGAGAACTGTACATAGTATACGTTATGTCTACTCTGGTAATGTCAGCTAACTACATTTACACATTACATTTCAGTCATTTAGCAGACGCTCTTATCCAGAGCGACTTACAGTGGTGAGTGCATACATTTTCTTAGTTTTTGTACTGGTCCCCAATGGAAATCGAACCCACAAACCTGCCGTTGCAAGCGCCATGCTCTACAACTGAGCAAACTGGACCCTGCTAACTGCCCTCTCTCCTCTCAGCTCTAGGGGAGGGTAAAGACGTCTTTGTGCGCTGTCCTCAGGAGGCTCTGATCTGGGCTGAGCGGAAGTACCTGATCCTGGAGCAGATCCTCACTTACCGCCCTGACATCCTGTGTCTCCAGGAAGTGGACCACTACTACGACACCTTCCAGCCCATCCTGGCCAGCCTGGGCTACCACAGCACCTTCCTGTCCAAGCCCTGGTCCCCCTGCCTGGACGTGGCCAGCAACAACGGCCCTGACGGCTGTGCTCTCTTCTACCGCCGCGCCCGCTTCAGCCTCCTCTCTACCTCCCACCTGCGCCTCTCCGCCATGATGCTGCCTACCAACCAGGTGGCCATCGTGCAAACGCTGCGTTGCCAGGAGACGGGCCAGAGGCTGTGCGTGGCCGTGACCCACCTGAAGGCGAGGAGCGGCTGGGAGAGGCTGAGGGGTGCCCAGGGGGCTGACCTGCTGCAGAGCCTGAAGGCTATCACCTCGGGGCCGGCTGGGTCTGACCCAGTCAGTAGGGGAGCTGGGGGAGGGAATGGGACAGAGGGGGTGCCTCTGATAGTGTGTGGGGACTTTAACGCTGAGCCCTCGGAGGACGTATACAAGCGTTTTATCTCCTCCCCACTGGGTCTGGGCTCAGCCTATAAGCTGCTGAGTGCAGACGGGCAGACAGAGCCAGCCTTCACTACCTGGAAGATCCGTCCCTCAGGGGAGAGCTGCAGTACCCTGGACTACATCTGGTACTCTCACGATGCTTTCACTGTTAACACCCTGCTGGACATACCCACTGAGGAAGAGATAGGACCTGACCGCCTGCCCTCGTACCACTACCCCTCCGACCACCTATCACTGCTCTGTGATGTCAGCTTCAGGTAGCAACCCCATAGGCTGATGTAGGCTGCCAATCACAGAGGTATCAGCCAATAGGGCCACAGTTCAGGACAATGCAGGAAAAGTGACTGGATGGGTGTGTGATACTAGAGAACTAAATGCTTATTTCACTTGACCTGGTGGTGAGATTAGATTTTAGACTTTCGACACCAGGGAGTAGTTCTTTTTTTAATATATACAAACCAGCACTTGCAGAAACATACTTTTTTCCCCTGGAGGTAGTTTTCTGGCACAGGTGTGACGTTATCCCTCTTGATTATTTATCTTAATGTAAAGGTGAAAACTGAAGAATAGGATAATATCAATACAGTGGAGGATAACGTAACTCTGCTATTTTCAGTGCTGTGGCAGCTAGATTGCCAATGAGCATGGAATAAATAAAATACATTCTGACACCTTGTTTTAGATTTTTCTTAATGTCTTGTTTATTTATTTTAGTGTTTGATACTTTGTGTAGTTAGTTATGTTAATAACTGAAGTATCATGTTCGCCCAGGCTGAATAAATGCTTGAGCACCAACATTCAGTCAAATGTCAGTCAAATGACTTTTGGGAATAAATGCTCACGCCTCACTTCTAAAGCCTTTGGTTGGCCATTTAGTCAATAGAATAGTGCCTATCAGCAACACTGCCATGTAGTGTAGACCAGGGGTTCTCAAGGGCTGCGTTTAGTCAGGCAGCCCAATTCTGAGATTTTATCCACTAATTGGTATTTTGACCAATCACATCAGATCTTTTCGCATCAGCTCTTTTTCAGAGCTGATCTGGTTGGTCAAAATACCAATTAGTGAAAAGATCAGAATTGGTCTACCTGTCTAAACGCAGCCAAAGTGGGGTCCTGCAGGGCAGATACGTTTTTAATGAATATTACTCAACAGGTTAAACAAATTTTGTTTCGTGGAATAAATTCAGTGTAATACAATACAATAAAATGTAATCTATAATTTATGTTCTTGCCGCGGTCATTTGGTAGTCGAAACTCAAATGTCCGAATTGCTAACTGGATGAACGCGGCACGTGTTTAACTACAACCAGTTAGCAAGTCGGAATTGTCAGTTTACTAGTTCCAACTAGCATGTGAACACTGCAATAACCCTGGGCAACATGGGCCTGCGAGACTCACAGGGATATTGGTATCCACAGTACTCCACACGTCATGTATTCCCCCCAAATAAACGCAGTGTAATTTAAGCTTTAAAACTGACTCATTGAAAAGTTTAGAATTGCAGGATATTGGTGTTTAAAACTGCAACAAATCTCTGCCCCATGACAATGTGTAGAATTAAAGGAATTTAGCATGGAAAATGTTCTCTCGATGCCAAGAGGCAGTCCTTTAAAATGTTCCTTCCCAGAGCCCGAGACTTGGTTTGTCCGGCCATGCACTGCCGAGGTCATAGTAAAACTCTGTATGCTATTTTTATCTCACTCAAGTTGTGTTCTGATTATTTGGGGGTCCCTGATGAATTTTCTATCATGAAAGGGGTACCCGGCCCCTTACGTTTGAGAACCCCTGGTATAGACAGTAGTAGTAGCATGACATGTACTGCTATGTCAGCATATATTCACAGGGACATTTGCCACTGAGTGAAAATGGGCACTTTTAGGGGGACTTAAGTGTTTCCAATGACCGCATCAGTGTGCATCGTGTGATATTAACCAATTATGAGTAGGCATTGCCAACTAATTGTCATTTGAATTTTTTTACTACAAAACATAGTAATGTGCCATTTTCACATATGTTGATGTTGGGGTGGTGCTGGAGATGAATATAACACAGAAAAATGTTTGTAATTTCCCTATTTAAGTAAAACCAAATGTGAGCATTGCGAGATCTGGTTGTTTTAAGGAGGTTACAGGTGTTTTGACCGGTGGACCCTTTTCACCTCTCAGCCTCCTTGTGTAGGAACCATTTAGACACTTGTCAGGGTCCATGCCTTGCAGCCATACAGGACTGATGGCAACAAAGAACCTCAGCTTCAAAAAATGAGTACAGTATACAAGACCAACTAAATCCAACTGAGTTTTACATTTGTAACTCTATTTGAAAGTGATTCAGTTCCAACAAGCATTGACTGAGACGAGATGTTTCGATTCATGTTAGTTTTTTTTTTATAATACATATTTCAGTAAAATCTACATCAATACAGAGTACAAGAAAATAGCATAAATGTGTAATATACTATCTAGATCCGTCTTTTCTTGACACAAACATCCTTTCGCTCCCATTCCTGAACAGTAAAAAAAACAAAACACAAAAGAACATTGAGTGTAGGGACAGTGCTGTGGGGGACTACTGTGTGAAAGCCATACAGACTGGGAAGTCAGATGAAAACCCAAAGCAAAGATTCCAACTATGAGACAAAATAACTGCAGTTGCATCGAACTTAGAATACATCATACGTAACCTGCTGCAGAGTATCAAAAAGGTTTTACACAAAGACCTTTACCAGGCTTCCTTTATATTATGTTTCTGATTTTAAAAAATGATTTTCGATGTACAATCTAAGGCTTGCCCGTCGTTTGAGTTCCAACAAGCTTCTAAAGAGTATGCATACAAAGTCCCATTTCCTCTCTCGTGTCTCTTCCTGGTTTTCTGATGTGGAGGGACGGAGGGCACTGCAGCTCCAGTTTGAAGACTAGCTTCCTGGTAACTAGGCGCTCCATAGCTGAGGTCCAGTTCAGAGCTCTCCTACTCTGTATGGTCCAACAGCTCCACGGCCCAGTAAGAGAAGGATGGGAAGGGAAGACTCCACTTCAAACAGTGCCAATATGGAGTCAGTAGCCCTCGGGCCCCTGGGACTAAAGTTCTCAAGATTCAGGGGCCACTGGGTTCTGTGCCGACTCCGAGGCAGAGGGGTCCTTCGGGCTGGACTGGGAGGGCTCCGTGCTCGCTGAAGGGGGGGACGCGGTGGAGTCTGGGAGGGCTGTGGGGGGTGAGATGGCCTCTTTTACAGGGGGTGTAGTGGGGGTTGGTACAGGGGTGGTGATGCTGGTGGAGGGAGGGGGCTGGGGTTTACCTACAGGGGAGGCCACAGGTGGCTGCTGGGTGGGGGGCTGCGTCACAGGCTTTGCAAGTATGAGCGGAGGGGCTGGTTTCTGCGTTATCTGGAGCGTGGCGGGTTTAGCCTGCACTAGCTGGGTGACTGGTTCGGCCTGCACTAGCTGGGTGACTGGTTTGGCCTGCACTAGCTGGGTGACTGGTTTGGCCTGTATGAGCTGGGTGACTGGTTTGGCCTGTATGAGCTGGGTGACTGGTTTGGCCTGTATGAGCTGGGTGACAGGTTTGGCCTGTATGAGCTGAGCTAGCTGGCCTGAGAGCTGGGCTGAGAGATTGCCCTGCGTTAGCTGAGCTAGCTGGGCCGCCGGGATGGTGATGATGGTGATCTTCTCTCCGCTCTTGGCCCCGGCGGGCATCATGGTGGGTAAGGTCTGGATCACCAGCTTGGGCCCGCCGGCGTGGGCGTTGCCCAGGGTGATGGGGGCCTGGGTGGTGAAGACGGTGGAAGGGTTGAGGGTCATCTGACCCAGCGTCGTCGTCATGACCATGGGCATGGCCAAACGCATGGTCCTGTACATCAAACAGAAACAAAAACAGATTTATTCATGAACCTTCCAAATGAGTTCACTGTGCATTTGTATGAAGATGTAGACAGAGAGAGCATCTCTGCCCCTAACACTACATTATTTATAAATAGCACTTGAATTATTTCATGACTAATCATGCCTCACCTGTTGCCGGACGCGGTGGGGATGACGGTGACGTAGCTCTGCTGTGTCTGGGTGGAGGTGGCAGGGTCAAGGGTCAGGGTCTGGACCGCAAGGTGGTGCTCAGAGGGTTCCCCCTCCCCCTCCTCCTCCTCCTCCCTGTCATCGTCGATCACCCTGATGTTCTTGGGCATGTCTTTAAACTGGTAGGCCAGCCTCTGACCCTCCACCTTGGCTAAGATCCCCCGCTGGTAGTAATACCTGGACAGGGACAACCATACCAGTCAGACGACTGCACTTACACTCAGAATACTTGCAGAAATACAACCCAAGATGTCATTTAACACCCAAGATGTCATTTAACACAAGTGTCACACCCTAGCATGTATTTTGAAAAGGTGACTTTAAAAGGGTTAAACGCATGCATTTTAAAACAGACATTCTAGCCCAAATCTAGAATGTCATTAGTCATTCCTTAGCATAAAAGTAGTAAAGATATGTTGGGTCGACAACAGTCAGCCTTACTCACTAACTATAGTGAGGAAATGGCTATCAAATAGAATAGAATCCCGTGGTTACCTGAGTGCCCTGCCCATGGTCTCGTAGTTCATGTCAGGTTTGTTCTTGTGTTTGCCCCATAGTTTGGACACCGCCTTGGAGTCCACCAGTTTGAAGATGCCCTTGTCCCGCTGCATCCACTTGATGTACCTGGGACAGGTGTTCTTGTCCTGGAGGAGATCCAACAGGAACTCCCATAGGTAGGTGGTGCTCCCTGGAGGACAGCGGGAGAGAGAAGACCAACATCATTCATACAGAGGATTACTGAATCAGCCTGTGTGAGTTGCTAGCTTGAGTGTGAGTTGCTAGCTTGAGTTGCTCTACGTAGAGAAGCATCCCTTCACGGGCTTGACAAACCCTAGCCCCTGCTGTGTGGGGTACCTTTTCCCTCTCTGGGTCTCTTCCTGATCCCCAGGTCAATGGTGCAGTTGGTGTCAGGCTGAGGCTGTTGTATCTTCGACTTCCTTCCCCCTGCAAGGAAACCGACCAAACAACTTAGCACACTTTATATAATATACAACTTAACTTTTAATACTGGGTTGGAAACGGTGACCAACACAGAGACAGATAGTACGAAAGCATTTGGTTGTGTCGGAGGCAGACCTTTCTTCTTCTTGGCAGAGGGAGGCTCGTAGTCAGGGGGAATAGGGAAGCTGTCCTCCTCTATGGGCTCACACTCTGTAGACACCTCCACCACAGTCTCCATCATCACGTCCTCCACTGAGACACACACAGAGAGACAATAGTTCTCATTATTATAACCACAGAGCAGTGATGATTCAACTCAGACTGGCAAATGGTAATAAAACAAACTTAGTGGTAGAATGAACTGACACAGGTTACACACACAAATTCAGTCGGCATCATGGCCTACCCACTTATAATGCCTAATCCCCAGCAAGGCCAGTGGGGGAGGGGTTGAATGGTTACCTGTGTTGTTGCGGTCTCCATGGAAACTGCTGGGGGAATCCATGTGAAGAAGGGCCTCGGCCGCCTCGAAGGTCTTATCAAAGCACACCATGCCCCCGTGTGATGACACCTCTACTACGACAACACAGGAGAGATGAGGGAAGAGGAGGAAGGAGAGAGGTTAGAGAAGTGAAAATCCATTCTACATTTCAAGTCAATTTAATGTTCATTCAACTAGTTTGTTTCAATGATTATTCAACCATATCTCCCTATGGCTGGGGTCCTATAACCGCAGACACCAATCCCCCTTGGAAGTAGTTAGCTGGGCAAGACAGCTGTTGCCTTTCAGTAAAAAGTAGGGGTGAGGCAGAGTAAACCTGTACTTTTGAGAAAAGGGTAGTAAACTGTAGCCTTTATCCTTGTTGGAGACACTCTATCACACTCATTCACTACACTTTTTCCCTTTAGGACCCTCCTCCCATTCCATGTTTGGTTGTGCATAGCAACAACTGCCTACAGAAGTAGTTATATCTTTAGGGTGGTCATTGGTCAACAACCAATAAAACTGTCCCCTCCCTCAAGCCTCAATGGCTTCTGTCACTCTTCCAATGGGCTCAGCTCATACACCACCAGATGTCCTTCTTGAGATGGTCCTGGAAGGAAACAATACTGTCCCACTACTACTCTCAGTGGCAATGTCAACTCTTAAGGAGCTAAGTTGGTATGATATGTTGAAAAGTCTAACACCCACACTCCTCTTGCCTCCCTCTAAAGCGATTACTAAGCATCCAATCCTTGCACATCTCTCTCTCTATCGACACTACCCAAACCCTCCAACCTCTCACTGCAGAAATACGTCACTGTCCAACCCTGTACCCCCTCCCTCTCTCCCTGCAGCCCTCTCACCTGTCTCTACCACCTCTGTGACCACCTCCTGCTCGTCTCCCACGTCCTGCATCAGGTAGGTCCCGTCGTCGTAGACCAGCACCTGGGCAGCGTAGCACTGCTCCACCTGGGCACTGGGCACCTCCTCCACAACCACAGCAGGATACTCCTCCCCATCCTCCCCTATTACCGTCTCCACTATCTCCTGCACCACCTCCCCCTCCTCACTCTGGAGACAGGACAGAGACACACATTGAGGGAGGCGCAAGCTGAAACGTCCATTGTGTGTATGTTTGAACATTGTTGAATCATTTACTCCACAAAACTGCAGGACGGAAATGCCATGGTCACCAGACAAACAAGTTGTTATTTATTGTTTCACTTCCCAATATTGTTCATGTTGATAAGATCAGCTGTGGCCCTGGTGCTTTACAATTAGAATAGGCTTCTGTGTTGCGCTGGTATAGCAAGTGAAATACCTTTGACATTTTGTATGGGGAAGGTTAGGGTAAGGCAGTGGTGTAGTGGAGGGTATATGTCGTATACCCACTTATTTTTCAGTGGGCATTGTGTATACTCACGTCTTTATCCCCACGATGAGTATCAAAGTAGTGTAGTGGAGGTATACGCTGTATCAATTAATAAGGATGATGGAACAGGTCAGAATGTTTAGCTTAAAATGTTGATCAACTATTAAATGTGCACATGGCGGTAGGCCTATGTGCAAAAAAAGATCCTAAATGCAATTTGTGGGAAAACACTGTTCTAAAAATGCTCACCGCACATGCGAGCGGTTTCATGGACAGAGACGGAAATATCAGCTAGAAATTTAGAAAGAGGGGAGATCTAAAGATGCAACAACTATCACGGGTTGCTATTATGACTAGCATAATGCCTTTCGCTGCTAAACAATGAAAGAAAGTTGATTTGAAAGCCAATAGAACAGGAGAGTGCATATGAGGAAGTCTTTATAAAATATTTGCCTCCACATTTCTATGGTGAGATTTTGGCTATAGGTTAGACATGCCTAAGCAAGGTAAGACATGCCGCATAATATGAAGTAAAATGTGCTGGTTTCAAACAATTAAGGAACAGGAAAAGTATATAAATGCTAATGATAGGCCTAACCGTCTTCTGGTAGATGGAAAGGCTTTCCCAAAAACCTTCTTAATTAAATATTAACAAGCTACAAAGTAGCCTGTGCCTACCTCGCAGAATGATATCATGATTATTTGCATCAATCCAGTGGCTATTAGTTTTGCAAACTCCATCTCATGTGCGCTACAGAAACACAGCTAACCAAACAACAGTGCTAGGTAATAATAATATGCCATTTAGCAGACGCTTTTATCCAAAGCGACTTACAGTCATGTGTGCATACATTTTTACGTATGGGTGGTCCCGGGGATCGAACCCACTACCCTGGTGTTACAAGATCTGGCCGTGTGGTGCCAGGACAACAACCTCTCCCTCAACGTGACCAAGACAAAGGAGATGATTGTGGACTACAGGAAAAAAAAGAGGACTGAGCACGCCCCCATTCTAATCGACGGGCGGTAGTGGAACAGGTTGAGAGCTTCAAGTTCCTTGGTGTCCACATCACCAACGAACTATCATGGTCCAAACACACCAAGACAGTCGTGAAGAGGTGACAGTAGGGAGGCTATATATACAGGGGGGTACCGTTGCATAGTCAATGTGCGGGGGCACCGGCTAGTTGAGGTAGTTGAGGTAATATGTACATGTGGGTAGAGTTAAAGTGACTATGCATTAATACTTAACAGAGTAGCAGCAGCGTAAAAAGGATGGGGTGGGGGGGCAGTGCAAATAGTCCGGGTAGCCATGATTAGCTGTTCAGGAGTCTTATGGCTTGGGGGTAGAAGCTGTTGAGAAGTCTTTTGGACCTAGACTTGGCACTCCGGTACCGCTTGCCGTGCGGTAGCAGAGAGAACAGTCTATGACTAGGGTGGCTGGAGTCTTTGACAATTTTGAGGGCCTTCCTCTGACACCGCCTGGTATAGAGGTCCTGGATGGCAGGGAGCTTTGCCCCAGTGATGTACTGGGCCGTACGCACTACCCTCTGTAGTGCCTTGCGGTCAGAGGCCAAGCAGTTGCCATACCAGGCGGTGATGCAACCAGTCAGGATGCTCTCGATTAGGGCTGAACGATTAATTGCATTCGCGATAATATCGCGATTTGACTGAACGCGATTTTCTAATCGCAACGTGCGCGATTTGAGGTGGTCACGTGACGCGACTTTTCATGCTGTCCAGCGCAATGGCCTCTTGCTCGACGGAACAGTCAGAAACTGACACAGCTGATACTTTAATATCGAAGAGGAACAGCACGTCTCGGTGGTGTGGAACTATTTGGTTTTAAAAAAGAAGATGCTGAGCAGCGTCAGGTGTTGTGCAGAGCATGCCGTGCTCCGATTGCTACTTCACGGGGTAACACTACAAACCTGTTTCAGCACTTAAAAAAATACCACAAATCAATGCATGACAGTTGTATGACCAAAATGCCGAGCATCAGTGCGCGAGACAAGCCAAATACCTCAAGACAGGGATCACTGACAGAAATGTTCGAAAGTGTCACTCCGTATGAACGTAATTCAAAACGGCACGGAGAAATCACTCGGACAATAACCGAGTTCATAGCCAAAGATATGATGCCTCTCAGCACGGTGACCAAGCCTGGGTTCATGGCATTAATACATACGCTTGATAAACGTTACAGTATACCCTCCCGCACATACTTCAGTCAGACTGCCATACCGGAGCTGTACAAAAAGTGCAAAGAGAAAGTCGCCGCGGAACTTAAAACGGTGGAGTTTTTTGCTAGCACTACTGATATGTGGTCAAGCCGCACAGCTGAGCCGTACCAGAGTCTTACAGTCCATTTATTGATGAGTTTTCCAGGCTGCCTCAAATACCTAACTAAATTGAAATATGTGTTGGTCATATTTAAATCATCATTATTTTTTGGGGAAAAGGAAATAATTAAATCGCTATAATCGAATCGATGGGGGCAAAAATCGCAATTAGATATTACAAATCGTTCAGCCTTAACTCACGATGGTGCAGCTGTATAATCTTTGGAGGATCTGAGGACCCATGCCAAATCTTTTTAGTCTCCTGGAGGGGGAATAGGGCTTGTCGTGCCCCTTCACGACTGTCTTGTGTGTTTTGGACCATGATAGTTCGTTGGTGATGTGGACACCAAGGAACTTGAAGCTCTCAACCTGTTCATTCACTGTAATGTCTGCACCTGTTGTATTCGGCGCATGTGACCAATAACATTTGATTTGAAGCACCATGCTCTACCAATTGAGCTACAGAAGACCACCCAGAGGACTGTGCAGTTGAATTTAAGGGTAACTACACTCAAATCTAAATTTCTTAGATTTTTCCCAGACCTCAAAAGTACTCTCCTGATGTGGTTTAAGCATTGTTGTGGGCTTGGAACATCCAATTTTGTTGTTTTTCTATTAGTGTGAGAGAGAAAACCTGAAAAAAATTGAGAGAAAAACTTTAACCTGTGAATTTCTGATTCAGTTGACAGCCTCATTGGTCTATTTCAATAGTAGGCCTATTATTAGCCTACTTGCACAGTACAGCTTTGGTTGGCTTGACTGTGAAGACCAATTTGGTCATTCAGAGTGTGTGTCACTGTTTGTCATATAATTTTTCCACACAGGGCGCCTTTCCTTCACCGGGCGGGCCTTTTGGGGAATATTGGGCGAAATTAGAGTACACTCACTTCTCCAGGCACCACTACACCACTGGTGCCAGGTGATACTCTCTTACCTGCTCAGTCTCTTCCATGACAGTGACGTACTCCACCATATTCCCTCCACCATCTGCCACCACAACAGAGGTCATCACTCATTCCTATGGGAATAAAACTGTTTCAGGAAGGGAACCTGAGCCATCCTCTTCCCCATCACACAGACTTGGAACAGTTCTGTATGGGGCCCTAAAGTAAGTACTAGTATCTTCATTACAGCTAAGTAAGAAACAAAACTAACACAAACGTCAATTTAGCCAACATAATAATAGCTAAATGTATCATTTGAAAACCTTTTTCAGGAATAGTACGGAGCAAACTCTGCACACTGTAGAATGCGATAGTTGCTGGTTCGGACTTCACGTTCACAAGCGTGCCCCAATGTTTACATCGTTTGAGCAGTTTCCGGCCTGTACTGTAACTAACGCGTTAGCTCTAGTTATCTAGCCAGTAACGTTATCTAACTGTACATTGACTGGTATATATCGTTAGGCGTGTTTTCTAAGTTGTGTGTGTTATAAAGAGAGATGAAATGTAAACAAATAGAAGCAAGTTATATAACGTTAGCTAGCTAGTTAGCGGCTAACATTCTAAAATAGCTAACTAGATGGCTTGTTAGCTAGCAACGCTAAAGTTGGCTATCATATGGCCATCCTTGCCCGATAAACACCACAAATCAAACAATGGCATTGTGTAAAATCTCGCAAAATAACTTTCCTTACCTTCTGATGTTGCTTTTCCTGCGGTGGATAGCTTCAAGTTAGGCCTAGCTAGCTGTGTAAACTAATTGCTAGCTATCCAAGTTGACCAGGCCGACGTCGACGCGCTCCACAATTTGAATACGCTCAGATCTCAGGAAGTGTTTGCAAGCTAGCTATAGCAAAATCTTGATTATGTTGATTTTCACCTACAAACAATACTAAAATGCTGTATGTTGCATTTGTTTACGTTAGTCCTGTTTTACAGGATGTTTCGATCTCACTGCTTTCCTGCGCGCCGTCTCTTAGCGAAGGGAGCCTGGCCAACCTCCTGCAGCCGGATAGCGAATGACACATTGGCCACGATGACGTCACAGCATCGCACTACGAGCCCCTGGCTTGTAGCCCCAGTCGTTACAAAAAGTAATTGATCGATAAAGCCCTTTCATACACACTTCTGTAAATAGAAATGGCTGCATGAATACATCCATTGTGATTACTGGACGACTGCCTGAGTATGTCATAATTTTAACTACATGAGCCTCAGCGTCAGTCTGAATATTGTGTTGTAGTCCTATGGTTGTGAGTTTATATTCTCATCCACCAAATTGAGCCTGGGGACAAGGTTAGTGGGTTTACTATGACAAAGGTAGTGGATGCTCATATAGGACATAATTCGTGCCATGTTGTGTTTTCAATAGCAGACATGGTAGTTGACACACAAAAAAAGTAAAGCAACAGACAACTGAAATATTCCTTTTTGATTCCATCTTTATTTCAGAAAAACAGCAATGTTTCACAGTCAGTTTCTGGCCCATGCTAGGCCAGTGCGCAGTGCCAAGCCATCCACTCACATGGCAGAACAAGCCACTATATCCCATACAAAACGTGCCTGCAAACATTGAATTATCCCACTCCTTAATTAGGAATAAGCTTACATTCACTTATCAATGGTCTCAGTCCCTTTTGAAATATGCCTAACATAGCAAAAAATCCGATATAGAAAGTGAGAAGAGAACTAGTTCTACAACAAATCTGTAGAGTACAGTGAGAGCCTTGTATTGGACTACAGATTATTTTAACTGGTTCTGACAAAGTTGAACATGTATTTATGAATCTAAAACAAACAAATAAGTCAGAGATGACATTTGAAAAGCAGACAAAACCATATCAACACACTTTACTGTGCCATCGAGCGCTGAATTAACTTATGCAACCACACAAGCCTGACTTGAGTAAAAATGCAACTATCATTTGATAACAAGAACAACACTCGACTGTTTATACCAGGCTCGGAAAACATGCTATACACTCAAACAATAAGCTATAGAGAGGGTCACCATTATATGAATTGTCTATCTAACAGCTGTGTATTCTATAGCCATGGTGTGGAGCAGAGAGAGGCTCTACAACAGAGGGGGAGGGAGAAAGTAGAGACAGAAATGTCTGCCTTATGAAATATTGCTGAATAGCGATATCATGAAATATGCTACAGAGTCTAGCTTAAAAAGAGACATCACTGAATGTAAAAACCTGACTCGTCGTCATGCTCATTTCCCAATATGAATCCCATGTCTGTCTTGCAACTGAGAAGGTTTGTTCAACTGTAACACTCCGACTGCATTAATAAAGGTCTGTGGATCACCAGCTGGAGGAAAAGAGGAGGAATACTGAGGTAGTGAGGTAGCCTACTGTGTCCCGTCTCCCAAAAACAAGCCAGTGACTAAGAAATAGAGTGCGATTTACAAACGCCGTCTCCGATCACTATGTCTTTGAGAGTTAAATACTTATGATGTTCACATTGGAATCGTCTCAAAGAGGAAAGACCTAAGGATAGTTAAAGAATGCTGGTCACACCAAAACCACGCCTTGTCCTGCCCAGCCCTGAAGCAATTGGTGGTTGACTTTTGGTGGCGGAGCATCAGATGTGTGGTATTTCATTGGAGGGCAATAAATCAGGAAACACCATGAGTGAATCTAGTGTGAGGTTTCTTAGGTGAAGTGAACTAGGACATGGGGAGGATAGTCAAGGGCATGACCACAGTGTGAATTACAGGGGAGCTCCCCTAAAGGTGAAAATAATGATAATTTGAGTATTGGTGATGTAGCCTATTGTCATTTTACCCTATTGAAGTTGATATTCGATCAGATGTGCTTATCTGAAGCCTGTATGTGTTCATGTGTGTAACATTGCCTCGCTGACAGGGGTAGGCCTACCGGTGTTCAGAGTTAATTGTAATGAACATTGTAGTCTAGTAGGTTGACCCTGTGTTTTCGGGTGACCATATGTCCCGTTTAGCCCGGGACAGTCCCGTATTTCAGCCACTTTTCAGGTGTCCCGACATAGTTTTAAAAAAATGTAAATTTGTCCTGTATTTCCAAGTATTTTTTTGTATTTTTTGAAAACTTTTACTCCACTACATTCCTAAAGAAAATAATGTACTTTTTACACCATACATTTTCCCTGACACCCAAAAGTACTCGTTGACATTTTGAATGCTTAGCAGGACAGGAAAATGGTCAAATTCACCAGAGCACTTATCAAGAGAACATCCCTGGTCATCCCTACTACCTCGGATCTGCCGGACTCACTAATCACAAATGCTTTGTTTGTAAATGATGTCGGTGTTGGAGTGTGCTCTTGGCTATCCGTATTTTTTTATATATATTTTTTTCAATTGTGCTGACTGGTTTGCTTAATAGGGAATTTGAAATGATTTATACTTTAACTTTTGATACGTAAGTCTATTTAACAATTACATTTGATACTTAAATATATTTAAAACCTTTAATTTTAGAATTTTACTCAAGTTGTATTTTACTGGGTGACTTTCACTTTTACTTGAGTCATTTTCTATTAAGGCATCTTTACTTTTACTGAAGTATGAAAATGTAGTAGTTTTTCCACCCCTGCGTGTTTCAATTCAGACTTCGCATTAATTTGATTAGAATGTACACTGATTGCATTCCAACCCGATGAAACGTAGGGTATAGGCTAGCTAGCCAATGTGTCATACCGTCAACCAATCACATTGGGTCAAATTCTGCCAGGCTCAGTTCCAGCGAGCTTCTAATGGAGAGCTACAAAAGTAAGTTAATATATAACTATTTCAGTCCCATAGTTAGTCTAAGGTATTTTGGCAAACTTGTGTAACTTTGGCAAACAGTTACATTCTCCTGATGTCAACCAGGAATGTTTCCATGGCCAAATATTCCCAGATTATTATAATTTTGCTCGCTCAGTGTGACGAGAGGGACCTTTCTTTTTTGGGGGGGGGATTTTTTGGGGTGTTGTACATCTAGAAAAATATACCAGATAATCTTTTTTTTCTCTCCATAAAGCAAGCATTATCTGAATATATACACAGATAATTCCCTGGACCAAGACGGGGAGACAAGTTTTATACTACAGATAAATATCAAGGGTCAGGGGTCAAAGTGTGTGGAGGGGTCAATGAGAGGGGGGTTGGGGAAGGCACATCCCCTCTTCTCCCTCAGAGTAGAGAAACTATATCATCCAGGGGCTCCAAGTGCTACTGTGATGAATAGAAAGAAGAAAAAACATTTTACATAAATACACAATGTCCCAAGACTGGTACATTTTACATTTACGTCATTTAGCAGACGCTCTTATCCAGAGCGACTTACAAATTACATGACAGACCAGAGACATAAAAAAGTTACACAAATAAGTAGGCATCCATTCACCAAGAAAAAACTCGTACAGGTTTAGGTTCGACTCCATTAAACTACGCCCACAAAGGAATATTTTGCTTCCTATTATCTTAGAGAAGTGACTACAGGAGGTGACTGTAGTAAAGCTCAGTACCTGTCAGTTGGTTCTACTGCATCTGCATCCTAAGCAGCCGTCGCTTGCCCTGAAGACAGACGTGGTGAGATCACATTAGATCACAATACCATGACTAGCACTGAAATGGCAGCACTCTATTCATCTAGATTTCTAAATGTGAGATACAACTCCCGCTACTACCGCCATGGCTGTTGCATCATCATTCATGATTTTGTTATTGAAAATGATCTATTTGAACAAAATATATAACCATCTGTGCATTTATAGACAGTGTTAGTCCTATTTTTAATCTACTCATCCAACTAATCAGACATTCTATTGATCAATTGCATGCTTTAGTTGTCAAATTACCTGTTACCTCAGCAGCAGGGGCCTCGTCATCATCTGGAGCTGGGATGATCCTGCCGGTCATGGGGCCGACCCCCAGGACTTTGGGCCTCTTATCGGACTTGGCTGCTCCCTCCAACACCACTACAATGTACTCCTTTTTGGGCGCATCCACAGGTGCCGCCACCTCAACTGGGGCCTCTTCCACTACAGCTGGGGCCTCTTCCACTGCAGCTGGGGCCTCTTCCACTGCAGCTGGGGCCTCTTCCACTGCAGCTGGGGCCTCTTCCACTGCAGCTGGGGCCTCTTCCACTGCAGCCTCTTCCACTGCAGCCTCTTCCACTGCAGCCTCTTCCACTGCAGCCTCTTCCACTGCAGCCTCTTCCACTGCAGCCTCTTCCACTGCAGCCTCTTCCACTGCAGCCTCTTCCACTGCAGCTGGGGCCTCTTCCACTGCAGCTGGGGCCTCTTCCACTGCAGCTGGGGCCTCTTCGATTGGTGCAGGCTCAAGTGGGGCAGCCGGGGCCTCCTCCACTGCAGCCGGGGCCTCCTCCACTGCAGCCGGGGCCTCCTCCACTGCAGCCTCTTCTACGGGTGCAGCCTCAAGTGGGGCAGCTGGGGCCTCTTCCACTGCAGATGGGGCCTCCTCCACTGCAGCTGGGGAAGCTGGGGCCTCCTCCACTGTAGCTGGGGCCTCCTCCACTGTAGCTGGGGCCTCCTCCATTGTAGCTGGGGCCTCCTCCACTGCAGCCTCCTCCACTGCAGCTGGGGCCTCTTCTACGGGTGCAGGCTCAAGTGGGGCCTCCTCCACTGCAGCTTGGGGACTCCTCCACTGCAGCAGGGGCCTCTACTGGGGCCGCCTCCTCAACTTCTTCTACAACAGGCACAACCACTTCAGCGACTGTCGTCACCTCCAAAGCAGAGGCTGCTGCCAGAATGACTGGTGCCACTGCAAGACAGAACCCAGCGCCCGAATATCACTCACACTCATGTTACAAAAAGACTGACTCACAATTTCTCTCCAACTCAATCAACATAGCACATATGCGCCCAATGTGACATGAGAAAGGATATCCAGGAAAATAGAGGCAGTTAGACATGCCAACGTGAACATTGTAGAACTCTGTGTACAAACCCCAAGAGATGGTGAAATACGCATTCTTGTTTAAATAGTGCAGTTTGACCAGAACCCTTACTGTATCAGCCCACTGTGGGTCTCCCGAGTGGCGCAGTGGTCTAAGGCACTGCATCGCAGTGCTAGCTGTGCCACTAGAGATCCTGGTTCAAATCCAGGCTCTGTCGTAGCCGGCCGCGACCGGGAGACTCATGGGGCGGTGCACAATTGGCCCAGCGTCGTCCAGGGTAGGGGAGGGAATGGCCGACAGGGGATGTAGCTCAGTTGGTAGAGCATGGCGTTTGCAACGCCAGGGTTGTGGGTTCGATAAAATAATGTATGTGCTAACTGTAAGTCGCTCTGGATAAGAGCGTCTGCTAAATGACTAAAATGTAAATGATGTAAAATGGTTAGGGAGAACAGTTTGACCAGAACCCTTACTGTATCAGCCCACTGTGGGTTAGGGAGAACAGTTTGACCAGAACCCTTACTGTATCAGCCCACTGTGGGTTAGGGAGAATCCAAACAAGTGCACAGACCAACACGTAGCCAGTAGCCAGACAGAGGTCACATTGAGAAGACAAACAAGGCAGCTTGCCATGTAAAAACGTGACATTAGTCTTAGAAAAAGTAAAGACTTGTACAGACATAGGTGTTAGCTAGTGCTTCTTCAGAGAAAAAGGCAATCCGAATGTGTTGAGACCACTTTTCGGTCATCCTTGCATTTTTGTTGCGTTTGCATCAACATTGTCCAGACCCAGGTGTACCTTCACCGTGCATTGACCTCTATTGCATGCATCACTTGCTCCCCAAAAGTTCAGCTGGACCCGTCATTAAAAACTCAATTGTTGCACATTTTGGTGAATGATGCAAAGCAGAAATGCATTTGACCAATGCAGACTGGCAGGCTATGGCTTGAATGTACCCACCAGAGCATTGAGTGACCGCAAAATAAATGGGTGGTTTTGAGAGGGTTAGGATGGAGCCTACAGGTGGAGAACTTCAACATACAGGGTAGCAGTGACATGGGTGCAGATGACAGGCATAGAAAAAAGGCACGGTGACAGGAAAAACATTGAATGGAAGAGGGTACAGGAAGCAGTAGAGGTGATGAAGGAATAGTGTGTGGAATAGCAGTTAACTGTACATTAAAATTCCCCATACGGTGCATGTATGCAACACAAAATGCCTTGTAAGAATAGAAGTGTGAATTAGTCATTTCTAATGTGAATAGAAGACATTCCAAAATAAGTAATCAGAACATACAGCGAAGAAGGTACTTTTGCATGTTGTCCACCATTCTTTATAAAGAGGCCAGCTCAAATAAAATAAAATGCCTTCCTGCCAAATATCACAAAGGAACACACATCAAATGGGATAATGGTTTGATTTCAAACATTTGTCTTGACATTTTTTCACAACTAGGGAACTTTTCTGATTTGTCTCCTGGGCTAAAGTAAATCATTTGTTGACTCATGGGGCAACAGTGCAGAGGTGAATTAACTCTAGTGTCAGTGTGATAGGTTCTTCATGGTACAACTATAATATTATATCAGAAGTGGATTGTCTTGTCATTTTTACTCGTGATGGAATCCATTGCCGTTTTGGAAAGACTGGTTTTCTTCACCCGAAAGCCCTACAAGCGTATTAGCACAAGCAAACCCAGACAAATTCAACACGCGGACGGGATCTTTCCAGTTTCGCAAATAATTTTATTGTAAGGCTCGATTAATTCCCTTAATCAATTACACGACTACTCACTGCGTTAGCTAGTTTAAAAAATAGCAAATCTGAATGGCAACACATTGTTGATTTCCTCACGTTTTAACGTTATGAGGTAATTCCTTCAAAGTTCCAGTTTTACAGTTAAGAATAAAAACACATGGCAACAGTTTGTTTTGTTACAGAGCTTGCACAGGTTTCAGAGTTGTCTCTACTAGCAGAAGCCATCACACGGCTGCATGAGATGTACGTACAACGGGTTAAACAAAGCTTTAACGTTACATCGGCATGTACCAACTCAGTGATATCTGGCAGAAAAGCATAAGTTAAGAGGCTTAAAAAAGTACAGTTGTTAATGTAATATCTCCCAAATAAAGCCTGAGTATTAGTGGTTGGTTGGCCGTGGACTGGGCTTACACATTACAAACAAAATAACATAATCAAATGGCGCATTTGAGGTGTTTTCCTGTTTGTGTTTGCATGCAGCGTCGGGCCTCTGAGGTAAGGCAGGGGAGAGGTTAAAGGTCATTGATACGTGAGGTCAGTGGAGCTTTGTAAACAGAACGGTGAGTGGGCAGTGTTTGAGAGGAAGAAGGGAGCGAGAGAAGGGATGAATAAAGGTAGTTTGGAGGGGGAAAGAAGCACGTGTTTGGTCACATTTCACTATGGGGGGAGCGGGGGGGGGGGGGGGGGCACAGTGATTTGCACTAATGTGTATTTCTATCCTTACTGTGATATGAGGTTGCAACCATTACATCCTTAACTGTGCAAGAGATGGATGACATCACTGCCACTTTCTAAAAAGGTCTAACAGCGGTGACCATCTGCTGTTCTGATTTTTTAGCACTTTTACCATCTCCAGGACACAACAAATATACTGTACAAATATACTGTACATAGTCAGGAGAGATTTTGAACTACACAAGCTTTTAGCGTGAAGGGGGGGGGGGGAATAACAGAGCAATCTATTCTTCTAGCTTTTCACACTTTCACTTACAATCAGTCATATCATTAGTTACGCCTCTGCCCTCTAAGTAAACTCTAATGGATAAAGTGTCCTCTTCGAGAGAATAACCTTCACATCTGAGTAGTCAAGCTCTAGTGGTTTTAGCACCAGGTCAGATCAGTGTTAGACTCTGTAGTGGTACTATATGGTGTGGGTAAGGAACAATGTACACATAACCTCCCTGTTGCTGCTGGCCTATCGGAGTGCGTGTGTGTGTTGGGCTGGTGGTGAAGGACAGTGTGTGCCTCCCTGTGGTGTGTGTGTGTTACTCAGCAGCAACATCAGCCTCCTCCTCTGGGCCCGTACCGTTGATCTCCGCCTCTGGCTCGGCCACGGCAACTGCCTCCTCGGCGGCGGCATGTGCGGCAACAGCCTCAGCAGCCTCTTCCACGGCCTCGGCCACTTTGACCACTTCCTCCGCTGCCGCCTCCACTTCATTTGCCACCTCAATGACCTCTTCTGCGACCTCAGCGATGACTTCAGCAGCCACCGCAACAGCCTCTGCCATCTCCTCCACCACAGTCTCCGCTTCTGCTACCGCTGGTGCCGCCTCTACCTTTACTGCTGCTGCCTCCACAGCAGGTTCTTCAGAAACTGCCTCGGCCGCTGCTTCTGCCTCGACTGAGGCCTCTTCTGCGGGTTCTGCTCCGTTTTCCGCCGCTACAGCCTCTTCAAGTGCAGCTTCCTCTGCTGCCACCTCCTCCTCTCCTCCCTCCTTTGCTGCCACCTCCTCCTCTCCTCCCTCCGCTACTGCCACCTCCTCCTCTCCTCCCTCCTCGGCCGCCTCCTCTACTTCCTCTCCTACCTCGGCTGCTGCTTCCTCACCTGAAACAAAGAGAGAGAGAACGAGAGAAGAATATATAAATCAGTAAAGATGGCATCGGCCTTTGAAACTCACCTTCACAACACTGCCTGAGTAAGCTTTACAACACAAAATAAGAGTATTTGCAGGGTATGTGAATTACACTACTCACCCCTACATAACACTAGCCTATAATATAACAGAATATTCAGATAAAGTACTATTTCTATATTTTTATCTTAATCATATTTACATTCATAACTTATCATTTAGCTGCTGTGTGCACAACCACACACTGAAACAATCATACACTGCATCACACACGCTACGCCCATGCCACTCATCTTACCACACCTCCGGATCTTACCACACTCCACCTGGAACGGGCAAAACCCCAGCAAAACAAATAACTGCAGAAGAGAATTCACCACATGCATTCACCACATGCAAAACCCAAAAGAAAGGGAGGGGAGAGAGGGATAAAATCGACAAAGGGAGATTAAAGTGACATAGGGGATGTATACAGGGTCAGGGGATAGAGGTTAGAGGTCAGAGGGTGGACTGAGGAGTGATGGGATAAAGATGGTGAATCTTACCATCCAATCAAAGCTACCAGTACCTGGAAATTCCAACAATAACAGACAAGCCAGGTGGTTTGTGCGCGTTTAATTTTAAATTGAGGCAGTCTGTCTTTCTACACATTTACCCATTAGCATTATTCCATCCTGGAAGAGGCCACAAAAACATGAGTTCATCAAATAAATAAAAAATGGGGAAATACATAGAACGAAGCTATAAAGTGTCCAGAGGAGAAACATTCGGAAACAGACAATAGTTGAATGTATGGGACGTAGCAGGACTTGTTCAGTCATACAGGAGAAGGAGGAAAGTAGGAGATATCCCCCTTTTCAGATTCATCCAAAGAGTCCAGTACGTCCCTGACGTATAGTCAATTTAGTTTTACACTGCAAAGAGTAAAAATAGGAGAGTGTTAGCGCAAAAGGGAGGAAGATAACCTTTAATAAAAAAATAACTTTAAATCAGATTACAATTTCACCATTATCAAAAATTCTAGTTCAACATCAAAGATTATGATCATTAATTTCCCTATGGGCTTATCTCATCAAAATGACTGCTTGTACAATGCGCTGATAATGCCAACAGTGCATTAGCATTCTAGGTTTAAGGGGGCACTAAGATGACGTCACCTGTTTCCGTTTGAGGGGTGGCGTCAGTGTGGACATTGAGTTTGGTAGCGAATTAAGACTCTTTAATAAAGAGGTACAGGTTTACGAGAGGTTGGGAGTGGGGGATTAACAGTGAGAGAAGCAGGGTTGAAGGGTGGGCACATGTTTTGACGTGGATCGTACAATAGGAAAGGAGTAGTGTCAAGGAGGGGAGCCCCCTGTTCTGATTAACAGGTATTTCAGCCAATAGGATCAGGTTAGGGTCAGACAGGAGAAACTGGGTGGGGTGGGGCCAGAAAGGAGAAGCTGAGTTTTTTTTCTACTTTCAGAATCACTCCGTTAAAAATGCCTATATCAAATTCATCAACAAGAGTAGGCTAAGTTGACCATCTAGAGAAACCAAAACATTGTGTACAGGGAAACCCATCTCTGAACAGGTCCTCCCAAATATGACCATCAACAGTAGATTTTCCACCAACTACATGCTTTGGGTCCCCTAACAATATTTTCTGCCAATGACAGAAAGCCAAGGCATTGGGTTGTGAAACTTCCAAAACTAAGTCCAGAAAATCAGAGAGCAGAACCTGTTCTAGACCCGACACCTTATCCGGGTGTCAATTCAAATAAATTAGTAATCTCAGACAGTTATGCCAGTTCTACTATGAGTAAAGAGAACGCATTTAAGGCCAGAAGGTTGGAAGCACTCGTTATTAACCAGAACAGGGAGATCTCCGAGCGTGGGCATAAGAATCGATGTGATTGGTGCTCTGCAGTAACTAACCAATGAAGATTCAGGAACCCTACGATGAGTGGGGACGTCACTAATAACTATACTGTAGATTATCATCATGGCATTTCACAGCATTTGGCTCAATCATTGAAATGCAATACATGAAGACTCCACCCATTTCAGAGCCCATGAATCCACTCCTTTTCCCTACCATTGGTCCTCAGAATTCTTGGAAATGCAGTTTTGTGAATATATCTAGAGAAAGATCTAGGTGTGAGAGCACCTATAGAGAAACATACATTTCAAGGCAATCAGTGAGAGAATAATCAAATCCATGCCAAGTCAGTCTAAAACAAAGTTTCATTGGTCATTCAGAAAGAGAGTCATTTAACAGGCTGTGAGTTATTACAAATGAAAGACATTAACCAGTAGAGCCACACATAGGAACTCACCCTCCTCTTCCTCATCCCTGCCTGGAAACAGACAGAGAATCACAGTGTCACAGATTTACAGGGTATGTATTATATGGATTATATACTGAACAAAAATCTAAACGCAACATGTAAAGTGTTGGTCCCATGTTTCATGAGCTGAAATAAAAGATCCCAGAAATGTTCCATACAGACAAAAAGCTTATGTTTACATCCCTGTTAGTGAGCATTTCAACTTTGCCAAGATAATCCATCCATGTGGCATATCAAGAAGCTGATTAAACAGCATGATCATTACACAGGTGCCCCTTGTGCTGGGGACAATAAAATGCCACTCTAAAATGTGCAGCTTTGTCACACAACACAATGCCACAGATGTCTCAAGTTGAGGGAGTGTGCAATTGGCATGCTGAATGCAGTAATGTCAACCAGAGCGGTTGTCAGAGAATGTAATATTAATTTCTCTACCAATGTTGTTTTAGAGAATTTGGCAGTACGTCCAACCGGCCTATCAACCACAGACCACATGTAACCACGCCAGACCAGGACCTCCACATCCGGCTTCTTCACCTGCGGGATCGTCTGAGACCAGCCACCCAGACAGCTGATGAAACTGAGGAGTATTTCCGTCTGTAATAAAGCCCTTTTGTGTGGAATAACTCATTCTGATTGGCTGGGCCTTGCTCCCCAGTGGGTGGGCCTATGCTCTCGCAGGCTGCGCCCCTGCCCAGTCATGTGAAATCCATAGATTAGGGCCTAATTTATTTATTTCAATTGGCTGATTTCCTTACATGAACTGTAATTGTTGCGTTTATATTTTTGTTCAGTATAATATAGCCTATGGAGTATATGGACTAGAGATGCATCATTCGTGGGGGACGACATGTTTACTGTTGCCTTCTTTATCTTTTCACACATGTATGAGCGTGCATAAGGGTTCATGGGCGAGATAGCCATGCGCTTGTGTGATGGTATCTGTGTAGTTGGAGTTTATCATTATGGTGAAGCCTGCCAAAATAAACATCCATTACAAGTGGGAAATAAAAGCTAATTATATATATCTAATCTCAGCTGTTTATACAGCACCAGTAGTACCATACGCTCCTCCCCCAGTGTCAATAAACCAACTCCCTGGCCACTGTTGGATGACATAATAGCTGCAGGTATAAATAGAATGGACTTGGACGGGAGAGTGTTTTTATTAGCAGGAAGTGATTTTGGCAAAGACAGAAAAGGAGTGATAGTGGAATATGCAGGTCTCCGACAGCTGCCTGGACACTGGACAGCAATGACTTTGTTCAGCCAGAGAACGTGAGGGGGGCTGGCCTGTTTGGCTAGGAGTCCCTGGTGGTCTGGCCAAAACTACTGACCGCTTGTTATTTCCAGAGATATTAACACACCATGACAGGGACACTATAAGTGTGTGTGTCTATTCTAATGAGCTCAGCAGGATTTCCACTGCAACAGGAAGGCTCTCCCAGAGGAGAAAATAGGACACACACACACACTGAATAGCCATGCTACGGCTTTAGGAGCATGAGCGTGTGGTCCCTCAGCGACATTCCTCGGACATGGTGAAATAAATCAAGGATTATCCAGGCCTCCTGTCCCACAATCCCTAGCTTGGATCACATCCCTCTTTCTCTTGCACACAGACAGGTCAGAGCTACACTGCCAACCATGACTCATGAATAGAGGGCTTAGGCCACTGAACTGAAAAGGGGGGGGGGGGGGTAGTGTATGGTGTACGGCATTGCAACAGTGGACAATTAATAGTTATTTACGGTGAGTGTGTCACAGTCCTTACAGCCATGACCAAACCCAAACCCTGTCTTATCCAACAACCTGTCATGACATGATGGGTTAATTGAGATTGTGCTGTAAGATGTTGAGTGAGATTGTGAGGTAAAAAGGTGGGTGAGGTTGTGAGGTAAGATGGTGGGTGAGGTTGTGAGGTAAGATGGTGGGTGAGGTTGTGAGGTAAGATGGTGGGTGAGGTGAAACTTACTCTTGGGGGGCCATGGTTTGGGCGCCCACTCGGTCTTGGGACGAGCATTGATATCTGCTACACGGTCGTTGAATCTGGCGTGATCTGTGGTCACAGTGCTGTATGTCTGTTGGAAGAAACACAAATAACATTTGAAACGCTCAAAATAGTCATATCTTCACCTCTACCAGAGAAATATAACATTCTTCTGAGGGCAACTTTAGCCATGTCACATAAAATAGAGCACATTCTAGAGTTCTAAAGGTTTATGAAATAGGCCAGTCTATATTTTATCTCTGAGCTACGTCATCTGAACTCAAACAGATCAAACTAAATGGTCTGGCGTAGACTCACATAGGCGATGGCTCCAGCAAAGGCCCCGCCACACAGCAGCGCGTAGACGATGTTATCACCAGTACCACCAGGGACCGACGACATCTGTCGCCTTGGCAACACTACAAAAAACAAAGGTCAACCGTTAGCTAAAGGTCACAGCACAACTCACCCAGCCTTCAGAGGGGTCATCAGTGAGAAGGAAACATGGTAGATGTAACAGGACATTCGACATTTGATCTTGATCCTGCCCTATAACCCGACTCCCCATTAGATTGACATAGACCTAATGCATCAAAACAATCCTCAGAAAGAGTAAGAGGGAAGCGTGAGGACAGAGGCTTTGTTGAAGCACAATCCCTGGCTGTTTATTGGATTGGGTGGAATGGGTTTAGGTGTCCAGGAATGTGCCTGTCAGAGCTCATTTGCCTCCCACTGAAATAGACTTCAGTGGTCCTCTGGTAGACCTTCAACCAGAGTAACACTAGGCAGAAATAAAAGGAATAACATTTTAAATAGGCAATTGTAAACTAAAACAAAGTAAAATAATACAAGTTTAGTTAAATTCTAGCTAATGTAATCTGCTTAGGTCAGTGCAATAGTAACATTCAAAAGCAGGTCAAATGACCCGCCATCAATATTCACGTTTTTTTTTTACTCCCTCTCCAGACTGACGCATATTTTTTAATGATACTCAGCACAAGGTGGTGCTGTGTCATTTGATGTACACTACCAGTCAAAAAATTTAGAACACCTACTCATTCAAGGGTTTTTCTTTATTTTTACATTGTAGAATAATAGTGAAGACATCAAAACTATGAAATAACACATATGGAATCATGTAGTAACCAAAAAAGTGTTAAACAAATCAAAATATATCTTATATTTTAGATTCTTCAAAGTAGCCACCCTTTGCCTTGATGACAGCTTTGCACACTCTTGGTATTCTCTCAACCAGCTTCATGAGGTAGTCACCTGGAATGCATTTTAATTAACAGGTGTGCCTTCCTAAAAGTTAATTTGTGGAATTTCTTTCCTTCTTAATGCGTTTGAGCCAATCAGTTGTGTTGTGACAAGGAAGGGGGGGTATACAGAAGATAACCCTATTTGGTAAAATACCAAGTCCATAATATGGCAAGAACAGCTCAAATAAGCAAAGAGAAACGACAGTCCATCATTACTTTAAAGACATGAAGGTCAGTCATTACGGAACATTTCAAGAACTTTGAAAGTTTCTTCAAGTGCAGTCGCAAAAACCATCAAGCGCTATGATGAAACTGGCTCTCATGAGGACCGCCACAGGCATGGAAGACCCAGAGTTACCTCTGCTGGAGAGGATAAGTTCATTAGAGTTACCAGCCTCAAATATTGCAGCCCAAATAAATGCTTCACAGAGTTCAAGTAACAGACATCTCAACATCAACTGTTCAGAGGAGACTGTGTGAATCAGGCCTTCATGGTCGAATTGCTTCAAAGGACACCAATAAGAAGAAGATACTTGCTCGGGCCAAGAAACATGAGCAATGGACATTAGGCCGGTGGAAATTTGTCCTTTGGACTGGAGTCCAAATTTTAGATTTTTGGTTCCAACCGGGTGTCTTTGTGAGACGCGGTGTGGGTGAACGGATTATCTCTGCATGTGTATTTCCCACCGTAAAGCATGGAGGAGGTGTTATGGTGTGGGTGTGCTTTGCTGGTGACACAGTCTGTGATTTGTTCAGAATTCAAGGCACACTTAACCAGCATGGCTACCACAGCATTCTGCAGCGATACGCCATCCCATCTGGTTTGGGCTTAGTGGGACTATCATTTGTTTTTCAACAGGACAATGACCCAACACACCTCAAGGCTGTGTAAGGGTTATTTTACCAAGAAGGAGAGTGATGGAGTACTGCATCAGATGACCTGGCCTCCACAATCCCCCGACCTCAACCCAAATGATATGGTTTGGGATGAGTCGGACCGCAGTGAAGGAAAAGCAGCCAACAAGTGCTCAGCATATGTGGGAACTCCTTCAAGACTGTTGGAAAAGCATTCCAGGTGAAGCTGGTTGAGAGAATGTCAAGAGTGTGCAAAGCTGTCATCAAGGCAAATGGTGGCTCCCGAGTGGCGCAGTGGTTCGAATCCAGGCTCTGTCGTAGCCGGCCGCGACCGGGAGACCCATGCGGCGGCGCACAATTCGTCCAGGGTAGGGGAGGGAATGGCCGGCAGGGATGTAGCTCAGTTGGTAGAGCATGGCGTTTGCAACGCCAGGGTTGTGGGTACGATTCCCAATAATAATAATCTATGCACTCACTAACTGTAAGTCGCTCTGGATAAGAGCGTCTGCTAAATGACTCAAATGTAAATATTTGAAGAATCTCAAATATAAAATATATTTTGATTTGTTTAACACTTTTTTTGGTTACTACATGATTCCATATGTGTTATTTCATAGTTTTTATGTTTTCACTATTATTCTACAATGTAGAATTGTGGGTGTGTCCAAACTTTTGACTAGTACTGTAGTTATTTCACTTTGATTGTGTTTTGCCTGAGTACCATTACATCAGCAGGAAAACACTGCAGCCAGGCACTTTGTTTACTACATCAAGACTTGGACCAGAGTCAGAGTTTCCTGCTAATGCTGTTGTAGGTCAGTGCCATGCCCTCACTGCAGACAGGCACACAAAAACCAGACACGCACAACACACAAAGACGGACACAATCGTACGCACACACTTACAACACAACAAGCATGCACATCCAGACCCTAGACAGACAGACATCAGACACACGCAAACTCACAAAGACAGACATTTACCGTACAGACAGACTTTCACAAAAACAGACTTACGGCTTTGCCACAGTGAAAATAAATCTGTCAAGTAGCTACAGTTGAGAAAACTACCATGAATCACAAGTGTCCGGTTTCACTTGTACAGTAAACAAGCACAGTCCAAACTAATAGGTGAGCCTGCATGCCTTTCGCAATGAGTGAGCAAAGTGGGGGACCAGTTATATTAGGTCAAAATAAAGTTGATAATTTAATGGGGGTAAAGGCAAGATAATTTTATTCTAGACATAACTAGTCCCATTGGAAGAAATGTCCTCTTGATCCTGATAATTAGGAAAGAACAATGTCGCTGTTTATAAATGTGTTCTAACTACAGTAGTACCTGAGTTTCTCCTTTCAAAACAACACAGGGATTGTCACTGCAGGGGGATTTTAACCCTCAATGTTCTCATCCTGTAATCCATTCACTGTGGCCCTACCCCAAGGCTCTCCCCACCACCGTGTTATTTACACCAGCTAATCTGTTAAACCCTCACAGGAGTCGCAGGGTTAAAGTGGCGTGGGATTGAGAGAGTACGAGGGGTCGTGGGTCATAAGATTAAACTATGATACCTGTTCTGTGTGCCTAAGTACTGGTCAAGGGAGGAGAGTGGGCAGGGAGGGCCCCACTGCCATGAGAAGAGGCCCCTTCTTGCATGTAGAGATGTATCAAAAAAAAAAATTATAACTAACCCAAGATAGACCACAGCCTGTTGTTTCCAACGGGAGCAAATGGATCATAGTGGGCAGATCAAGCAAGGAGGTGGGGCAGAGCCAAGCACGAGATAGAGAGATCCTATTGGCACATTCTAGCATTTATCTGTATTTCTGTTAGGGAACTCTGAAGCGCGCGTGTGCAATAACTCCGGTGAAACATCTGGCTCATTGTTCCGTCTGTGGTTGTATACTGTACAGACGCAAAGCAGGGGCCGGTGTTGTTGCGTAATCTCCTAAGAGGCCACCAATGGTGTCTGACAGCAGGACACCGGACAAGCTCACATTTGAGTGTGTGTGTGTGTCAATGGGGAGAACGCTGGGCCAAAAGCTCAAGGCACGTCATGTTGCTATCGTTGCTTAGCCATTGGGCCTTTGTCCAAGAGCAGCTAAACCACGTTCTGCAGGGGCTACAGCAAATTACCAGCAATGCCATGTAAGCAAAGGGTGTGGACATTCCACTAAAATGTGAAGGAAAATAGTGTAAGGTAAAGCAGGGTGGGTTGACAATTTAATAAAGTTCCAAATATTAAAAATGACCTTCTCAGAAGCTGACCTTATGTCAGCCTAAATATATGTGTAGGTACAGCATATGGTTGCCTGAACTATTGAATATATTCCTATGGGAAGTATTTCATATGAATGCTGACTCCGGCTTTGAAACACTATGATTAGGCCAACCATTTTTTGTTCAGAGAATGCAAGTTGGTGCGCGCTCCCGCGGAGGGAGCTGTATGGTGAGAAACGCGCGCCTCTGTCCACAGTCTATACATTGACACCACCGTCACACGTTCTCTACCACGTGAGCAAAAGCAGGAACCATATTTCTATGCCACCTTTTACATAATGAAGGTCACATATTAAGAGTGTTTAAAACCAAATGTTTTGTAACGAGCTTCAATTAATTTATAAATAACCTTTCAAGTGCGTGTTTCGTAACTATGGTTAAAATGTATCATATGAACACCTAGGCCGTGCAATCGCGGTTAACACAAAGTGACAAGCTGCCATAATCTAATGATTGGAGAGGATTTCAACGATTTATTGGCACAGTAGGCCACCGCTGCATAGTAACACCGAATTGCTTTTCAATTTCACCAAATTGTTAGGATACTTTGAGCATGAGATCACTTGAACATGGAGAAAACAGGACTTTCCCTTTAAAATGTAACAATGTAAGACTCCAATAAAATGATCAAAATAAATACAATTAAAAGATTCAGACCATCATTGGCCAACATTCCAATTGACCTTCACTTCCCTTGTCCTGTAACACCGGTGCCATCTTTCAAATTTGGGATGCGACTGTTTCACATGGGAACAAAATGTTCTCTTCTGAAATGTACGCATATTCCTCTGCCCGTAGCCTATCCTACCGAGGAAAGAAAAACCAACAGCGATACACAGTTGCCATCTTGTATCGTGTACTAATGTAATTAGATCTCTCCATCTTTTGAACCCATGTAATACTCACCATCTCTAGATAACTGGTGGGCTGACTTCCTTGCCAAAGGCCCACATCTTTGCCAGGCCGCTCTGCAGAAAAACATCGCCGCTTGCTATCCAAAATCTACGGGAGGAAT